TGGGGGGGGGAGGGAGCGAGCGGCTGCGTGGTGCTTAGTTGCCAGCCGGGTTAAACCACGACAGTATTGCTGCTATCTGTACAAGCAGCTCAGAGCTGAAGTGGCGTGCTCTTGAGCCAGCTTGGGAACCTTCGCTGCAGGCAGACCTGTGTAACGAGTTTGTCAGCAACAGCAGGGCTAGATTGTGATGGAGTTGGCACCTTTCAGACAAGTGAAATGCTGGACTGAAGTATTTGCAGTCATCCTAAAGGCAGGTCAACATTACTAGAGAGGGAGGGGACTGTCTGACTCTAAGCCCTGTCCTCTAATGCTATACCCAAGCACTAATCTGCCTTGAAACACAAACTCTTCTGGTGTATGGTGGATTTACAAGGAGTCTGACTTGTTTCAAAGCAATCACAACATAAAATGGATGTGTGTCTAGCCATCAGCTTTTGGGAGCAGGGATTGCTTCTGGATTGGAGCTATGAGCAAGTACTGTGTGAAGAAGAAAATAAAGAACTGTTTATGACTATGCCTAGAATCTTGCCTAAGCCTGTGGGCAAGTGGTGGTCTGAAAGCTAATTTCTCTGACTGTAACTATGGCCTCTTCCATAATTCACACAAATGTTTCCAATGATGCTTCTACCAGATTAGAAGTGAAGGGTTTCCTTCTTACACTGGACTAACCTAATTAAGGAAAATAGAGGAAACTTCCATTGTGTGCAGTAAAAGGCGTTTCTTTTCCCACTCTGTGTTGCAGTAAGCTTAGGGTAATAGATGGGAACTGTGCAAAGCTGCTGTCTTGTCTGAGAAATTGGATCCGTGTGCAGAGTATCTGGGAATGTTGGGAGAGAGGGTGTACACGTTCTTGTAGGGAATTCCAGAGAGAAGACCAGCCCACTCATTCAACACACCTTTGGAAAGCACTGCCTACCAAGCACCTCTGAGCAGCAGCAGCAGAGCCTCTGTCACTCTCAGGCATCTCACAATGTGGTTTTTCAGGAGAAGGCTTCCTAAAATTCCCAAAGTCCTCATTTGGCTCATTGTTTTAACACACATTAGCTTCTTCATTGCTCATTTCAGCTCCTGGTTTGGCTTGCCAAAGACAAGGATTTTCAGGTAAGAGACTTGCTTCCTTGTGATGTGCGCTATCTGGATAGAGTGCTTGTGCTCACTTTCTGGTTTTTTTCTGTGTCTTTTTACCCTGAAACTTTCACTTCTGATTGGAGTTAGATGACCACATTGTGTACAATCAGAGCACGGTGTTGGAAGATCCATAGTCAAAAACTTGCTTCTGTTGGATCACTAGTTTCCAGTGTGTCCTTGTGTAGCTGTTTACAGAAGCAGCTTTTGCTTTACTAATGTTACCTGTTTTCATACTTTGGCACTACATAGTATTTAAAAACTATGTTCAGTTTTGGGCTTCTCACCTCAAGAAGGACATTGAGGTGCTGGAGTGCATCCAAATTATTATATTTGCTTTTCCTGGTGGCTCCCAGGACCTCATTCAACCAGACTGCATTGCTGGATATTGAATTTGGTGGGATACCTTCAAATTTATAGCAAGTTCAACATCTGATTCCTAATACAAATACGCTGTGTACTGGGAGACCAATGTCATGCAGACATGATCAAAATATATGGAGTATTTTTTATATAACTGATCAAGTAAATCCTACAATAATGTATGTGGAGGGAATTACAGTGTAGACTGCAGTAAAACATCTCTAGGATCATTGGCAGGAAGCACTGTTCCTTACAATGAGCATGGCAGATATCTGAGCCTTTCCTACCCCATGCGTGGCTGGCTCAGGTGTTGGTGCCCTGTGCTGCGTATAGGAAGCAGCACTCCCCAGCCTCCCCACCAGCCCTCATAGGGTCCCAGCTCTCCCAATGAGCTTGTCTGGCTTGTCTTGGTGGGGATAGTTTTCAGCTGGACCTCTCAGGGCTGATGCTGTGGGAGCAGACAGGAGGGTGAGGCTGGGAACACTTATGTGTCTGCTGGAGGTGGCATGAGTTTAGCTCAGCTCCAGTGACTTGAGACCACACCTTGAGGATTTGGAGAGGTCAGACTCTGCACAGGGGAGGTGGGGAGAAGGAAAAGGTGTAGAGAAGTGAGTTGTTCTTGATCGCAGAGCCCATCAGTGGCAGGTCTAGGGCAAGAACTGGCTCTCCATGCCCAGCTGCTTGAAGCCATTTCACTCTGCTGTAGTTTCAGAAAATGTAAATGTCCATATTTTTGCAACTTAAGTAATGCACAGCTAGGCATGAGCTGTACATGGTTATCTGTGTGTCAGTTCTATTTCCGTACCTTTATATGCAATGTAAAATACAAAAAGCAGCATTTTCACGGCTTTATCCTCTATTTGTCCTAGGGCTTTGTAAATGGAGAGGAAAATGACAGTAAGTATCATTGAGCTTCTGCAGTTGTATGCCAGCTGGACTCTAGAGCCTTAAATTTGATGAGCTGCTTTGACCAATTGTCTGGATTTAAAGTGCTGATCAGGAGTTCAGGGTCCTGTGTAGGCACGAGTGCCTGGCCATGTGGGCCTGACTGCAGGGAGCAAGGTTTTGGATGTGAAGGGCCCTCGGTTTTACATGTTGGTCTTTGTATGTTTGGCACAGTATTTGAAATTAAAATGTAATAGAGCTGGAGTGGAATCTGTGTCCTGTGAGACGGCAAGTATGGAGAGTCTGGGCTGGGGGGTGGTTTGTCATACTGTCCTGTTTTATTTGTTCTCTGCCCTTTAATTTCAACATTTTAAACATCCTCTTAAAAATACAACAGAAAATCATTCAGGGATTTAAGATCTGCCTGAGCTACCTTACCAAATATATCTTTATTTAGAGTGCATTTATAAAATCTTTCCTTTTATTGGGCAGCAAGCAGTAACATGAGTTTATTATGCATGAGGCACTGTGATAGAAAGCAGGTGCTGCATACTTGGTTGAAAGTGGCTAATGATTATGAGGGGAGGTGGAGGAAGAGCTGATAAGCCATTTACCACAACCTCTTTTTCTTAGAAATAGCGTTGGAGAGGTTCAAGTATTTGTATGATGCAAAATGATTTTTAAAAGCCTCCTTAGCTGATAATTTCCTAATCACTTTAATGAATGCCATACCACTCTGAAGCGTCAGCAGCAACTGACCTGTTATCTACAGCCTGCTATCTGCAGAGGTGCTTTTTTGCCCTGTTTATCACCTCAGAAGCAATCCACAGCTCTCCAGATCAAATGAGTCATGCAAAGCATGAACATGAGTATGAAATCAGACCGCTACAACTATGCTGGTTTATCCTGAAAAGCTTTGCTGTACATAAAAAGCTCAACTGCAGGAAATTTTCACTTTCCTCTTTCCTGTTCCACCCTCCAGCCTTGTGCAGATAAGAATGAATGTTTGGGACAAAACCCTACCACTTCTGCCTTGATTTTTTTTTTCCCCTGGGATTTGGCCCACTCTTGTTGCAGGTGGCTCTTACGCCATTGGCAGCCATATCCTCCTATGTTATCCTTGTACCTGCCTGTGCCTCTGAATTGGGCAACAGGGCAGCTGCACTATTCAAGGCGATTGCTGAAAATTCAGAGTTTTACATTTTTAAGCTTCAGAGTGTGTTTCAGTAGCTTCAGAGTGTGTTTTAGTAGCTTCAGAGTGCCTCTCAAGACGTGTACCTGATGAGTGCTGTGTGATGCCATTGCATTAGCTGGCTAAGGGGGAGAGGAGAGGAGAAAGTGCCTTGTGGCTCCAGATGTTCAAGAAGTGATGTATGGTAAAGGAGTGAGTTTCACTTCTTGTTAGGCTTCCCTTGCTGAATTCTGGAAGATCTTCATGCTCTGTCACTGAAGCACTTGACTCTGCTGGCAAAGAAGAGAGCCAGATGGCTGCCTTCACAGTGTGTGCTGTGCCCTGAACTCAGGATCTCCAAAACAGTCCTGCAGTGCTCTGGGGACATTGCCAGGGGTCCTGCCCAGTGCAGGGCAAAGCTGTTCTGTGCTAGTTTGCAGTTACTGCCAGTGTGGATGTTTCAGGAGCCAAGTGCTGAAGAGGAGTGTGTAGCCACTGCTTAGTGGGGAGATAAATGTTATTCAGGCCAGAATGGTGTGAGAAGTTGAATAACACTTTGGTGGCAAAGTTGAAGATGAAATTGAATTCATACAGCATCCTGCAGACCCTCAGTGGCAGTTGCCAAGTCCTCTGAGTGTGGTGGTCATATGCAGTGGTTGCTCTGAAGCATGGAGAGGAGCTTAGAGTCAAGAGCACTAGAAATGGGGTGGAGGGTATTCAGTGTTAAGTGGAAACTGTGTGTGATGTGTCTGCGTTTCCTTTGATTGCATTCAGGCAATTGAGCATTTTCCAACGTGTCCCGGATACGCTACAAGTGGACACCCAAGATCAACAGGGTTTAAACTATTTTGATAATGGGAACTCCAGGAGTTTTTTAAAGGTGACTTTGGGGAGAGATGTCACAAAGCTTGAACAAGATATGGTTGAAAGGACACCAAGATGGGAAGGAAACGAGCAGAAGAAAATTATGAAACCCGTTGCCAGGGTGGAGAAAGGCAAGGAGAATGTGACTGTGAAACCACCCCGTGGATTGGAGGGAATCAAGAAGACAACACTGAAAACAACCCCTAGGGTGCAGGGAAACAAGGAGAAAACAACAGTGAGACCAACTCCAGGGGTGGAAGAAGCCAAGGAAAAGACAATAGTGAAACAATTTCCCAGGGTGGAGGGAGCCGAAGAGAAGGCAACAGTGAAACTGTCATCTGGAGTGAAGGGAACTCATGAAAACATATCTGAAGACCAAACAAAGGCAAAAGAGCCTCCTGTATCAGCAACAACTGTGAGACCTGTTCCTCAGACCGCTGCAGTGACAGAAAAGAAGAAACTGAGGGCTGCTGACTTCAAGTCTGAGCCACGGTGGGATTTTGAGGACAAGTACATGCTGGACAACTCATCTCCACCATCGGTAGGTGCGATGGCCATGTGTGTTTGCCAGGAATGATGTCTCCCTGTTGACCTCCTTGTCTGCTGTCCCCTGGGCATGTGTGCCCTTTGCAGTTGAGGATGATCTCCAAGCTGGTAGGTCAACTCACTGGTATATGCAGATGCTGCTGGGACTCAGAGAGGGCGACCTGTATGACTCAGTTAGCCTGGCCAGTCCTCCACTGTGCTCCAATATGGGAACTTACTGCAACTGCACACATTTCCATGGGTTCCTGTGAAAGTCAGCCTGAGCTGCCCTTTTTGGAGCTCAGGTGCATCAGAAGCTGGGGAAAATAGCTCTCCTTCTAGATGTATTAATATGTGGTCCCACCCTTAGGTGCCTTGATATATTGCATAGGGGACTTAGGCATGCAATGCAGTGTATATGTTCCCTGTGGCGTGGCACCCTAAAGTAAGTTGGGTCACACCTAGTCTCATGATGCCTACAGCCAGGCTTTAGGTGTCTGGCACTAAATGGCAGTCTTCATACAGGCATCCCATTTCTTACTTGATCTCTTGGGAAGCTGCACATCTACATTCCTGTGAAGACTCACATTTACAATCCCCAGGTTTGCCTCGATCTTTTTTTTGTAGCCCAGCTAAAGAAAATGAGCAGGGTCATGGTGAAGGAACAAGAATAGTAGGAATGCCTCCATGTGCCCGTTCCCCCAAGCACGTATGTACCAAAGCAAGTCAAAAGCTTTGGCAGCAGTGATGCTTGTGCTGTGCTGAGCTGTGAAGTGATGCTGGCAGTGATGGTGAGGAGGATCTTGGTGCACAGGAACAGAGGCTTTGTTAGTTGCTTGTATTAAAGTCTAAGTAAGGTCAAAGCAAAAGGGTTAGGTGAGGATTGAAAAGTGTGTACCTGGCTGCTTTGGAGATAGTAGGGTGGGGACCACTCCCATTTTTAAGGTTTTCTGTCAATATTGGCAAAAATTCAATTGTTGTTTATTATAAACAAGAGGAATATTTCCCAGGTGTTGCAAATTCACCTTTTCCACCCTGTATGTAGACACAAGTACTGAGCAAGCAGATTCTTCACCTGTTCAGAGCTCCATGGCTTATATGGTCCCAGCATGTTGGGTTGCTATCTGGGATTTTCTTGCTGTACATTGAACCCTCATCATGGCAGAGCAAATAATTCATAACAGGTCTGGCATTCAACAAGTCTTGCTTTGTTCCTCTTTGTTAAATAGGAACAACTGTCAGCCTGGTCAGCACAGGTAAAGTATTTTGATACAAGTGAAGATGAGAATCTCAAATGATACAGTTGTACCTGTCAAGGCAGTAGCACTTGCACAGCTACAACTTCAAAGTTTTTCTGTTTGTTGGGAGTGTTGTTCTGTAGGTTAGTTCCTGTGATCACCTCTTCAGGTCCAAAAGCTGGACCCTCCATTACTGATGGGATCTTCCAAAACATTAAGTCTGGTGCCCACCACCAGGTTGTTTCAACAATCATGGTATTGAAAGCCTGTCTTTTTCTTCTCTGTTTTGCACTGAACTCTTATTCTGACCATGTTTTTGATCTTTCCTTTGTAGCTATGAGGGTTTGGAACTAATTTGAAATGAAATTTGAACATCTCATAATTACTCGGATCCAGGAACAGGGCCTTTAGGAAAGTACTAAACTGTAGCAAAGTTCTGAGCAAGCAGATGGGGCAGGCTGTGGTGCACAATATGGTCTTTGTCCCCCCTCTTATGCTGGTAACTCTTTGTAAAGCTTACCCAGAGCAGTTTTCCCTGGCACCCCTGTTGCTGGAAGGCTTGGACAAGTGGGTAACCCTCTCTAGAGTAAGGATGATCTTTATACATGGGTGTAAGTGGCCTTTACACACTGCTCATGTGCTCAGGGAGATGGGAGGATATAGGCATGTGAGCAGAGGATGGGAGCGCCTGTTCTAGCTCAGGGGTCTTGGATGAGTAATTTGCCTATTTAAAGTCTCAGTGCTGCAATCTTCCACCATTGCCATGTGTCATTTTGGTGGCATTAGGGGGAATGTAGATGTTGCTCCCGGGGACTGCCAGGGCTCCAGGCACTGTGGTGTTCTGCTCAGACCTCTCCTGGTGGAGCAGGGACTGCTCTTGAAAAACTTGATCCCATTCCCTGTGCCCAGGATGCCCTGGGAGACATGCAGAGAGCAGAGGTAGATGAACTGGGCTGAAAAAAAATCCTAGGATTAGTTTTTATTGTTTTGATGTTTTATTTTTGAGTTCTCTCTCCCTTGTGGTATTTTGATGTTGTTGCCTGTTGCCCCTTTGACAGTGCGAGCTATTCTTTTGCTGATGGGATGTGCTTTTCCATGTGGCATTGAGCCACTTGAGAGGGGCAGCTGGCCCCAATTATTCTAACTATTAAGTGCAGAACATGGCTGTTAAACATTTGAGCTCATGCTCTGGCCCAGCCTTACTGAGTCACAGCAGAAGGGCCTGGCAGATGATTGATCCAGTCTGTGCTGCAGGATGTGCATCTTTCTTCCTGGGCTCCCCATGGTCTTGAGGCACCCAGAATACAAATGGGAGTGGGTGAATTACATGGCTAAGGGTGCGTGTGCCACATGAGACAGTACCTCACCCCTTCTGCCCAGTGTTACTGCCTGTAGTGGGGTTAGTTCGCCAGGATCCTGCTCGTCACCTGCCGCCTGTTCCTGTCTCCTCATCTGATAAGCTGCAGAGCATGTGCAGCCATCTCAGAAGTGCAGAGCAGGAGCTGGCAGGGAAGTGTGAGACAACAATT